GTAGCTTAAATTCATCATTCAAATTTCTGCCAGGGCCGGTAATAGAAGCGAAGACATTCAATTCCATTCCTTGTTTTCTTCTTAGAGAATAACGTCAATAGCCGGTTATAACTATTCCGATTGACCCAGGAAGTTTAAAATCTGCATGTAGCTACTTGACGTCTAGATCAAAATTAGGCCAAGACTTTATTTTTTAAAACTCGTCGAGAAACCTATGAAACTTTGCCCATAGACTGTGTATAATTTTATTGTATTCCATACATCTGACCTTGAAACTCTTATTTTCAGGAGAAGGAGTGCAGGCAGCTGGACACGCTGCAGAAGTGCGTGGTGACAGCCCTGGAGAGGTGCGACGCGCCCACCACCGGCAACATCGTCGAGTCCCTGTTCAAGTTCGCAAGACAGGCCACGCCCTGCAAGATTGCCGTGAGTATACATAAACTCAACCACAAAGAAGTTCTCCACATATCCTCAAGATGGCGCCACGAGACAGAAACGCCGAAGACAAAGAGCCTGAAACGCGGGTGACAGCTGTGAGTATACATCACACTACTAGAAGAAGGAATGAAAGCAGTTACGTCTTTACAATGACGAAGTGCGACGCGCCCACCACCGGCAACATCGTCGAGTCCCTGTTCAAGTTCGCAAGACAGGCCACGCCCTGCAAGATTGCCGTGAGTTTTTTTTTTTGTTGATGGGCTCTATGTTTTCCGGTCCCGGGACCGTCAAAACTACACCTAACTATTTGGTGGGGAGCGAGGGCTCACCCGGAATTGCCGTGAATATACATAAACTCAACCACAAAGAAGTTCTCCACATATCCCCAAGATGCCGCCACGAGACAGAAACGCCGAAGACAAAGAGCCTAAAACGCGGGTGAGCTGTATACATCACACTACTAGGAGAAGGAATGCAAGCAGTTACGTCTTTACGATGACGAAGTGCGACGCGCCCACCACCGGCAACATCGTCGAGTCCCTGTTCAAGTTCGCGCGACAGGCCACGCCCTGCAAGATTGCTGTGAGTATACATATGTAGCGACATCTATGAGATAAAACACTAAGCTCTCTCTAAGACATATCCTCAAGATGGCGTCACAAGGCAACATCGTCGAGTCCCTGTTCAAGTTCGCGCGACTGGCCACGCCCTGCAAGATTGCTGTGAGTATGCATATGTAGCGACATCTATGAGATAAAACACTAAGCTCTCTCTAAGACATATCCTCAAGATGGCGTCACAAGGCAACATCGTCGAGTCCCTGTTCAAGTTCGCGCGACTGGCCACGCCCTGCAAGATTGCTGTGAGTATGCATATGTAGCGACATCTATGAGATAAAACACTAAGCTCTCTCTAAGACATATCCTCAAGATGGCGTCACAAGGCAACATCGTCGAGTCCCTGTTCAAGTTCGCGCGACTGGCCACGCCCTGCAAGATTGCTGTGAGTATGCATATGTAGCGACATCTATGAGATAAAACACTAAGCTCTCTCTAAGACATATCCTCAAGATGGCGTCACAAGGCAACATCGTCGAGTCCCTGTTCAAGTTCGCGCGACTGGCCACGCCCTGCAAGATTGCTGTGAGTATGCATATGTAGCGACATCTATGAGATAAAACACTAAGCTCTCTCTAAGACATATCCTCAAGATGGCGTCACAAGGCAACATCGTCGAGTCCCTGTTCAAGTTCGAGCGATTGGCCACGCCCTGCAAGATTGCTGTGAGTATGCATATGTAGCGACATCTATGAGATAAAACACTAAGCTCTCTCTAAGACATATCCTCAAGATGGCGTCACAAGGCAACATCGTCGAGTCCCTGTTCAAGTTCGCGCGACTGGCCACGCCCTGCAAGATTGCTGTGAGTATGCATATGTAGCGACATCTATGAGATAAAACACTAAGCTCTCTCTAAGACATATCCTCAAGATGGCGTCACAAGGCAACATCGTCGAGTCCCTGTTCAAGTTCGCGCGACTGGCCACGCCCTGCAAGATTGCTGTGAGTATGCATATGTAGCGACATCTATGAGATAAAACACTAAGCTCTCTCTAAGACATATCCTCAAGATGGCGTCACAAGGCAACATCGTCGAGTCCCTGTTCAAGTTCGCGCGACAGGCCACGCCCTGCAAGATTGCTGTGAGTATACATATGTAGCGACATCTATGAGATGAAACACTAAGCTTAAGAAGAAGAAGAGAACTTCTCGACATATCCTCAAGATGGCGGTACGTGACAGAAACTCCGTAAGCAATGAATCAAACGCGGTATCTCGGGTTCATTGCGTAGCGCATTCGCTAGATCACACTTCACAACAGTGTGAGTATACATAAATACATGTAGCGACTTATAGGAACTACAACTACAAGCAAGTTCTCCACGTATCCTCAAGATGGCGCCACGTGACAGACACTCTAACTAAAGAGACATAGTCTGAAACGCGGTATCGAAGTGTTTACCGCGCACCGCATATATTACATAGAGTCACTTAAAATTCGCCTGCCAGACCAAGCCCTACTTCAATGTGAGTATATATTACTAGCCAGTACAGCAATGTCACCAGTAGAAGGAATGCAAGCAGCTGGACACGCTGCAGAAGTGCGTGGTGACAGCCCTGGAGAAGTGCGACGCGCCCACCACCGGCAACATCGTCGAGTCCCTGTTCAAGTTCGCAAGACAGGCCACGCCCTGCAAGATTGCCGTGAGTTTACATAGTCTTTTTCTACTTTAGTGTGAGTCACCGAGTCCCTTCGTTCACCGAGCCTACAACTTTCCCACAGAAACCAATATTTTGACAGCTGTCACATTAAATGTAGGTCTCGTCAAGACCTACAACTCCTTCAAAGAAACTTTTATGCGCACTGAGACATATTTGAGAAGGTGGATGCACAGACCAAATGACTACTCAATGGAACTACTGCGAATGATCGTAAACGAAGGTTCGCGATAGTTCCATTGTCTGAGCCAATGGAACTAGTGCGAAAAAAAACTTCGCAGTAGTTCCATTGGACTAATCTCAATGGAACTACTGCGAATGATTGACCGAGTCGACGGACGACTAAATTACTACTATGAGTACCTAACCTGATGAGTCCTAGAGACTGCGGTGCTAAAATACTAGACTCGTGGTGGTTCTCAACGTATCTTCTAGATGGCGCCACGAGACAGAAACGCCAAAGACAACGGACCTGAAACGCGGTATCGAAGTGTGACAGTTGTGAGTATAGATCACACTACACTACTTGGAGAAGGAATGATGCAAGCAGCTTCACACGTTACGCCGAACGTCATTACGATTACAATGTGCAATCAAAAACCTAGGTTTTTGGTCTAACACCTGATTTTATCATAAACCTGCGACATACACATAAAGGAGTTGATACGCCTCTAACGTACAAAACGTGTGCCATGAATAATGGTGTCCAACATAATGCACTCGTCAACTAACCTATCAGCCTCTTTCATTCTTACGCGTTACCTATTTTCTGTCGCTCTTGTATAGCAGCGATTTCTTGTTACGTACAGTATGACAAAACGTATCTTTCCTAAGATATCATTGTGTAAGTAATAAGTATACATATGTAATGTAACGAACTTTAGGAGCTACTACAACACTAAGCTCACTCATGGCCGTTCGCAAGCAAGCATAATACATTTGACCTGTCCTTCAAGTACCTACCCAATTCCTATGGAATAATCTCGCATCATTACTTATAACGTTATAACAAATTAGGTTCTAAGGTAATTAATTAAAATTAATATTAATAAGGTAATAAATAGCTATACTAACCAACTAACGATACTAATATTTTTAGCCTGCCCCGACTGAGGCGAAACCGAGGAGCCAAGTGCAAGGAGTAAGTTTATATGGCATATGTATGTGACGTATTGTGCTGTTATGTTATGGTTATTTTGCTATTATGTAACGGTTATTTTGCTATTGTGCAATGTTTGACTGTTTTTTCTTTCTTTTTCGTAAGGGATACTGAGATGTTCGACCGTATTATTTTGAAAAATAATTATTTCTACTTGCTTAGTGTTCTTTTTAGTTGTATTTATGTTGCAAACCATATTAAATATTTATAATAATACTTATCAGCCGTGCTTGTTTCGTGAGCAATGAATCATGTAATTTGGAAAAATCAAACGCTAAATTGCCAAAAGTGTTATAACAAAGGTTATTCAAGTTTATGGGGTGAGTAAACCCCAAAGGTTTGCACTATTTCTGTAGGGTTCTGCATTTTTAATGATATTTTTATTTGCTAGCTGATGTTGTTAGCCATGTTCTGTGTACATTTGTTCCTAATTGTTGCTTTATGTACCTTTTTATAATTTGTATGCAATACTTATAGGAAATTTGCAATAAACTCGCTATGCCGCGGTGGCTAGGTTAGTTAACAGCAGACTGTAGAGCGCAATTCCATTATGCCAGTAGTTTGTGTGCGAGGTGCAAGTTGCATGCCACTCGATTAATGGAAAAGTAAATATGCATGCAAGTTGCAAGTTGCATGTTTAGGTACTACTAAGTTGCAAGTTGCATGTAGGTAGTTTAGAATTGGTTTAGAACTAAAAATTAACTTGTATGCAAGCGTAACGTCATACTTGCATGCAAGACTTGCATAATGGAATCGCGGCTTTAGCGAAGGCCGCTGGTTCAAATTCTACCCGCCATTTATTTTGTAAGTTTCCTATTACACTAAAGTCATTTGTTTAACAGTAAAGTTATTTATTTTTTTGTTTATTTATCTATTTTTATATCTTCCAGGACACGAAGGGCTCGGCCGCCGCCGCAACTGTCTCTTTCGCCCTCATGCTACTAACCGTCGCGGCCGCCATCTTGTAAACTACCTCAGCTTTATATTAGCCACGTGTCATGTCACAAATTGTTGTTCATACTCGCTATTCTACAGGTGAAAGTGCTGGATATATTTCAAGAGTCGCTTCTGCTCATAAATTTTACAACAGCAAGTGGTCTATAATTTCACTGCCTCGGATACAGCCTACCGTGGTGTAGCGGTTTAACATGTTTGACCCGGCTTGTCAGAAGACGTGGGTTTGAATCCCATCGGTATAGTAAATTTTTCCACTTGTATCGTTCGTATTAATAATATGTCACAAATTTTGAATTCCGTCTCTAATGAATGAAACCCTCTTAACCAGTTAATCATATATTTAGACTTTTCTTGTAAAGAAAAATCTCTTGTTCTTCTTTGACTTTTATAGTAGTAAAGTTAAGTCGATTCTTGAAATATATCCAACATATTTTACTCTAAAAATAGAACCCCGTAGTTCATAGTGCAACTGGTTGTGCTTCGTACAATTTAAACGTCACAAATTACAAATAAGTCGATTTACATTGTCAGAATTAAGCAGCATTTTAGTATGTACGTAGATTTAGATATTAAGTGTACGATTAACCAAAGCTATACGAAAAACAAAAAGTACATTAAAAGGCATGGCCTAATATACAAGGTGAAAGGTAAATATACATTCCCTGGCGGGGTAAGAAGTGGGAGTAAATTTCGATCATATTCTGACTTAGAACGTGGGTCAAAAATAATTTTGAAAACTTTTTTTTACCTTTTACCCCCTCTAGGGAATATAATTACCGTTCACCGTTTATTTTTATGATCATCGACTGTACCATGACGTCACTATAGACTGCTTTTGATAGAAAAAAAGTTTTGCATAAAATGCTCCATAGGGTCAAATTGCCATAGACGCGACATGACACGTTATGAAATTAATTATTGTAAAAAATCGCAAAAACTAATATCGATTAGTATGTAAGGATATGCATATCGGGTATTATAGGGAAACGATTTTGCCAAGTCGGTCGTCGAATTTAAGTAGGTAAATTCAATTTCATATTAGTTTTTGCGATTTGAGTAGATAAGTTACAGAGTAGTAGTAGCTTGAAGCTCAGTAATATCGCTCGACACATATCTATAAGGTGTAAACGATTAACTGCAAATACTTCAAGGGGTGAAACAAACCATGAAACTGAATAACTTTCCCTAAAAACATACTTCGAAATATGAAGAAAAATAATTGGATACCCCATACAATTTTTCGTAATTCTACCAATGTTTCATTCTGTTGTTCAGTTTCATGGACTGGTTCACCTCTTGAAATATTTGCAACTGATTTTGTTACATCTGTATAAGGAAAATATGCCAATTCAAACCGGCCAAATGATTTTGCTTCCATCCAGCCAAATGGTAGAATTATGATTATTTTAGAATAAGGGGTAACTTAGCGATCATTTATAATACGTAGATAAGTGGCTGTTTGGTAGGAATAAGATGTGCTTCAGAATAGGTCTTACTTCCGTGTACAATAATATTTCTATCTTCAACTATGTATTCCATGAAGACTCACTAATATTTCTACCTATCAGTTGCAACAAAGCGTTTCGTTCAGGATAAATATCATAAAAACTTATATAAAATCACGGTTCATTCCCTGAGGGGTAGACGGACAAAAGAAGCTTAGACTTTCTACTATGCATACTCTTTTAGTTTCATCTATTTCTTTACACACATTTATAAATCTTCTTTAAAAATTGTGAGTCCGCTTGTAAGTAAAAACTTTCATAAATATGTTGTGCCAAAATCTGAATAAGATAAGTCCAGCTTTTGTTGTGATTGTGATTGTAATCGAAGTTTGCGAATTTTAACATTTTTGTAGACCGACTTTCATACGTACAATATCACGCCTATATTCCTTGGGGGATAGGCAGGGCGTAAACGGGCGTTACTTATTTTCGTAAAGAGTTACTTTCGTTTTTTTATATGTTCTTGAGACATTCCATTTACCTTCCCAAACAAATTAATTAATGCGTACTTATAAGAAAAAAAAAACATAGTAATAAAGGAACCGCAGCTCGTACATAACGTAGTAGATAAGGAATAACAAATAATATTTTTTGTAGAGCAGCTTTTTAACTTTTTTACGATTTTTACCGTGATATTTTGCAATCCTGTGAATATTTTTATAGGTACTTAATATTTAATTAACATTACATTCCATAATACTGAATATTTCTTTACGATTTTCATAACCTATTAATTGTTCGAATGTGTTATTTTATATTCCTATATTACAGTACATTCCATCTGTATTTTTTAAATATTTGCTCAATCAGTAGAAGATATCGCTCAACTAAACAAAACATAAGAAGTGCACAATAATTGATATTGGTTGTGAAAACTAATGTTCGTCGTCATATTTTAAAAAATTACTGCACATATATTTTTTTTAAACTTGGAAAATTTTCCAACGCACGCAGGATTTGAACCTGCGACCTTCGCCATCTGTACTGCCGCCACTAACTAGGCTACCGCAGTTCTATCCTACATTAAAATAGTTTATTCATTTTGAAACGATGTATAAAGTGTGCAGTTATTTTGGCCAATCTGACAGCGTTCGTCGTTATACATTATATCAGTAGGTAGCTGTTTTGGTAGCATTTTTATTAGCCTTTACCCACAGAAACATATTTTATTGCTGGTATATTCGCATATCGGCCTTGATTTTGAAAGTACATTTAATTATATACATTATACCTATTCTAATCACTATCTAAAATAAACAAAGAAAAGAGACAGAACGTCTATTGTTACTAGAGATGAAAATTACCTTGAATCTTTCCTTTGCTGAGGTAAGTTTCCTGAAAGTTACCTGAAAGTTTCCTGGCGAGAAAGTTTTCAAAACTGATTATTTAACTTAAGAAAACAGTTGTTATGTTAATTATTAACTTAATATTACTTAAAAAAGACAGCGAGACACTTTAAAATCACCCAGGACTCGCTCCTCCTCCCACATTCGAACAGAAAGTTTCCAAACCAACGAGTGCAGCTCCGCGCCACCATATTTAAGTATTTCACCTGGTATAAGTAAGGTCATTGCCAACCGCCCGTTTATTATGCTGCTGTCTGATTGCAGTAAGAACCTCATCACACGACAGGGGCTCGTCCAGCTCGGTGGCTAGGGGGAGTAAAGTACCTACATTGAACTCAACATAGATGGCGTTATCTGAGGATATGTCTCAAAGTACATTGATCTCAACATAGATGGTGTTATCTGAGGATTTGAAAAAAAAAAAACAACCAGCTTTAAGAAAAAAATTAATTGACGTAATGAATAACATACAAGATACTAATTTTTAACCTTATTTTCATTTAAACATACTTATTATCACTAACTTTTTACGTTGAAAAGACATTTTTGAAAACTTCCTCGCGAGGAAACTTTCAAGTAACTTTCGGGTAAATTACCTGAAAATTACCTCGAAACTTTCAATGTTTCGGAAACTTTCAGAAATTTTCATCTCTAATTGTTACTAAAATTTACCTAAACAGGTCTGTAGTCGAAAAGGCCACTCATTGCAGTCGCGAACGTATGACGCTCCCTTTCCCACTTGGTAGTAAACTCAAGTGAGAAAGGGACCGCCATACGACCGCGAATGCAGCGAGTGGTCTTCTCGACTATAGTACATAGAATCGATCGCTGTTTGCAAATTAATCTTATTTTTTATAGTATAAGTATAATTTTTTATCCTGAATTTTATATGTTATATTTTTAGATTTAAGAAGCAACTTGAGTTTGAAATTAAGTATAGGTACTTAAGTACGTATTTGTGATTGGTGTATCGTCGTGTAGCTGTTTACGTAAAATGTGATATGTAGGTGAAACCAATAAAGAGGGATAAGGTAAATATTTATGTTTTATTTCAATCATTGTCAGCTTCCCTGACTAGAGGCCTGTATTCGCTTTGATTAGTGCGATTGCAGGTGCTTATAACCTGATTCATAGAAGAAAGGCACTCGAAATTGCAACATAATTGTTTTGTCCCCTTCTTCTATGAATCAGGTAGTAGTATAGTGTATGTGCGGCTACTCGCAGTGCACTCGCAAAAAATAAAACACTGTTCTATTTCTTCTACTTCGCAGCATACTAAACACTAATCAAAGTGAATACAGGCCTTTAGAGTATGCATATAGCTTGCAAATTGTTGCAATTTTTACACAGTGGCGCCCTCATTTATTGTCAGAACTTTTTAGACACACGATATCACATAATAATATCTGTTGAATAGCTTTACGTTGTTTTTCTAAGAAAGCCAATCAAGACCCGTTATAATAGAACGGCAGTAAAAAGCAAGTGTAGGTATTGTTTATTATTTTTAATTTATTTCAGTTTTTGGCAAGTTATTGCTAATTAATGGCACTCTTGAATTCGGTCTTCCAATTATGCAGTAGGTACACTCTGAAACAACAAAAATAAACGAAATTAATCATAAATTATGTGCGTACATGCAATAAAAATAAAACAACTGATAAAATTAAAAATATCCTTGGACGTGACAGTGACAACGCCATCTAGCCCCAAACTAAGCAAAAGTCGTACTATGGGAACAACACAACTGATAAAATAATTAAATAATTTTTTTGTAAAATAAATGCCAAACGATGTCGGTAAGATAAGATGGCATTTGGTTCGTAGTCTAATAGAAACCATTATCATTTCGTCAAGTCGGTCTGTCTGTCTGTATACCGCCGCCCTCATATCTTCGTCAGTTTTGAAGCTATCGACATGAAATTTGGTGAGAAGGTAGATCGTGTTGACCCTTTAGAAATGTTAAGAAATAATTTTATCAAAAATGATTTTCGGACCCCAAATCCGATACTATACAAGTGAAAGGAGGGCAATACATTTTTTATTTCTCCTCTTTTATTGAGTAGGGTATCGTTGAATAGGTATTTTGAAAATAAGGGGAGGTTTCTTTGAAATAAAGTCACTAAAATGTTTCTGTCTCGAGATATTTGCGTTTAAAAGGGGCGTTTTTGACCCATAATTTGTTCCAGCTGTAACTTCTAAAGCAGAAATGCAAAAAAATTGAAAAAGTATGGTACACAGTTTACAATCTGAAGTTACCATAAAAACTATAACGGATACTGTACCACCAAAGAACACAAAAAAAATGGTTTTCTATTTGCGGTTGGTAACCATAGGTACAGCTGCAAACAAACCAGCTACAAAATTAACTTTGTAACGCTGAAAAACCTGATA